CTATCCTGACTAACTTGAATTTTTTGGTAACAAAATAGGAGAATCGGCAGGAAAATCACTGGCTGAGGCTCTATGCAAGAATACCACTCTGAATAATTTGAATCTATATGGCAATAAAATAGGAGAATCGGCAGGAAAAGCACTGGCTGAGGCTCTATGCAAGAATACCACTCTGACTGATTTGAATTTGTCGATTAATAATTTAGGAGAATCGGCAGGAAAAGCACTGGCTGAGGCTCTATGCAAGAATACCACTCTGACTAAGTTATATATGGGTTCGAATAGTATAGGAGAATCGGCAGGAAAAGCACTGGCTGAGGCTCTATACAAGAATACCACTCTGACTAATTTGAATTTATATAACAACAAAATAGGAGAATCGGCAGGAAAAGCACTGGCTGAGGTTCTATGCAAGAATACTACTCTGACTGTATTAAATATAGGTAGTAATAGTATAGGAGAATCTGCAAGAAAAGCACTGGGTGAAATTGTAAAGACTCAACGAAGACACATCAACTTTTATTGCTAATAAGCCAACCAATAGTAACTTAAAATAATGAAATTGTCTATATTTATCTTTTTATTTGCTATTATTATTACATTTATGTATATCTGAGATATATAGTTAATACAAACCATTGTTTTATTCTTAGTATAGATATAAAAATAAAAAATAGTTTTTATTGCAATGTGATTTTCGCGTCGCGCATAGAATTTCGGTATTTGTAGTAGAGGGAACTAGATACTTAATCAAATGTTTATCAATTATATATGAGATAATGATGTAGTCGTAGGAAGCTTAAATAGTCTTTGTTATATAGATATTGGTTAATCTGAATTACTTCGATTATTCCCGTAAAAAATTATTGGAAAAATTTAAAGTTCGATTATATTCATTTTTACAAATGCATACATAAGTAACATTTTTGGCATATGCAGTATAACCTATTTATCCATATATAAGAATCGTTATTATGATAACGTATAAGTTTAATATGTGTCGTGTTACAATAGTAATTTAACTTAGGATTTGGAACGTAAGTTATAATTAATTTAATTAAAATATTGCAATATTTAAAAAATATAAAAGCTTTGAAATTATCAAAACGAATAGATATGCTTATATTTTATATTTTGTACAAATATTATTTGGTTTAAGGTGGTTCTTGATGCGAAAAATTTCAGGTCACAGAAAACGATCACAGAAATTGGGTTTATTTGTTATTTTAACATAAACATGACTTTAGATTGTACAAATAATTTGATAAAAGCTTCAAAGGATTGATCATTTAAAAGCTGAATAGCTCATTAGGTGTAAAAAATTTTTATACTTATCATAATTTTAATCATGATATTTGTAGACTGTAATCCTTTTGTTTTGAAATCACAAAATACGATTTAATAGTATTGATCATACTTCTTAGGAGGTATGTTGAATACATAATTTCGTTATCTGTTTATAAATCACGTTAACTTTTATAGGATGTAAGCTCAATTCAATATATTTTCGTTATTATTGTAAATTATATGGATATTTAAATAGGAATCGGAGATAATTTTTCGCTACTTATTTCACAGTTTATAAAACGAGATTTTTGATTGTATTTATCATCGACTTTTATAATATTGGCGGATCCATCGCTTCTAAGACAAAACCCGCGTAATATCAAAGTATTTAAGCTTATCTTTTAATACGAGATGTGTGATTTGATCTGACCGAGTTTCTTTGTTAATAAACATTCCTTTCTTCTTTCCTCGCGACGCTTCTCTCAATAAACTTTTCCACAAGTCCACTTAGTGGTAACCCAGGTTTCCTTCTTAAACTGAAGGCACTTGAAAGGTAAATTTATTGATTAAGATACATTATTTGGCAATAAAGATCACTCTACTTGTTAAATAATGTTTAATTAAAAGGATTTTATATTGCACGAATACTATTATTATGTTACAATTGCTTCTTTTCTTTTCTTTTTTTGCCACCTCTTTTATCCAAATCGATGTTAGCAAATAAACTTTTCCCTTGTCATAATAACTATCATATGTTAATAAGAATGAACATTTAAAATTTCTATGTATAATTATTAAACATGGAATTAAACTATCTGATTACATTATGTACTTCCCAATACCTTGATATCAAAATTCTAGGAACACGACGCTTAAGTCGCGTTACGCGATCACACCTACAAATTTTACCCGCCAACAATATCAAGTTAATATATGATATTTTCGTTATTTTCTTTCTTAAAATCACATCAGAGGAATTTTAATTTTTTATTTATTTCATAATCTAATTCCAAGATATTTGTTGTTTGTTTATATAAACTAGGAAACAGGAATTGCTATTAAGTCCGGAGCCAATAAAATTGACGGGAACGACGTACAGTATGTGTGATGCGAGAATCACTAAATACAGAGGGTCTTGTATAATGTTAAAGATAGACGAAATGACATATTTACACAAATATGTGGAGCATCTCACAAAGGTCTTTATAATTACAAAGAAAGTATCCTTTATTAATATTTAACATGTTGAGCTCCGTTCCATAATTTTCAAGTGCGAGTGGCAGATACTGTACATCTTACGTATATAATCTTTAAGGCCTTCAAAAGTCGCGTGTTCGATATTTGCATTCCACTTATCTGCCTTCTGTTTCGGAAGGACAATGACATCAAAGTCTAAAATTCAGTAACGGTTAATAAAATCTCTTTCGGTTAATAATGTCTAATCTGTATACCATAGACAGACTTGTTATGCGATTCCTTCAACGATGCGATGCGATCAAGTAATTCCTGTTCATGGCTTGAAGTGGTGGTTTATGTGGGCAATTTGACTAATGTTTCTCAGCTGGTAAGTCAGGAAATATTTTGAAATATTTTTTGTTGCAAGAAGTTTGTTTTGGTCCTGAAGTGAAAAATTGCCAAGTTGATCATCACAATCGTCAGGAATTTCTATTTTCCATAGTCTGAGCTTGTCTACAGGAAAAACATCAAACTCTGGTGCCTTTTCTGACTTAATAATCTTTTTGAGATGGCTAACTAACTTTCCACTATCACAGTGAACGCGTTTGTGATCTTATTTCCTTTAATGAGGCAAAGCAAAGTGATAGACATGTTTTCGGCTTATATACAGTAGTATTTTTTGCGAAATGTTATTGGTGCAGGGTGGAGGTCAAGAGCAAAAGAATTTTATTTGAGAGACAGAGGGATTCCCATGTCGCGCATACAAGCTGATCACATATGTTGCCCTAATCGCTATATTTCCATTTTTTTTCAATATCATTCTGTCTCGCACGACGTATTATTGCACATTTCAAAGTTTCACGATGATTTTAAGTATAATAATTTTCACCCTTAACTCTAAGAAAGATATCTGAAAACCGTTCCCGGATTACAGAAATGATATTCGCAAATCTTTGGCTTGAATCTGAGGTATATGATGAACGAGCAGAATATGACGAAGCCTCGCTTTGCTGGCCAGATTCTCTCCTATTAGTACTCTGGACAAGGGAGTGTCGTTGATCAATTTCGCTCTGAAGTGATGTGATAGTTTCTCTGATTGTTTTGAATTCATTGACGATTTGATTAAAATCATTATGGTAGATTTCTAAAACCTGTTTAACTTTTTTATATTCCCTAGACATATTAATCATGGTAATGATATAATCAGTATCACGGAAATTATTTTTTGCCATATGATCGCCAATTTCGATTTTTACATCGCACGCGGAAAATCCATTGTTGATCTTTTGCGCGACATAGTACAAAAAGAAAAATGCGATAATGACTCTCTAATATGGAGTTTTATTTCGGGGAATATCATTGATCATTGTGATGAAGAAAAGCAGGGCAGGAATAATAATAAAAGTCATATTCTCCGAAACGTTGAATGAAATGCGAAGAAAATCTGATTAGAAATTGCAGGAGGCAGTCACTTTGTGGCTAATCGTGGGGAGTATTTTTATTTGATGAATTTGATTTTGCAAACTTTTATTAGGTGAGCAAGCCTGAGGCCAAATATATCACGATGATTTATTTATGATGGTTTTGTAGGAGCCGATATGGTAGAAAAAAATGTATCTTTTATAAAGGGCCATAGTAAAAGATGTTACGTAAAATTTTAAAAACAAAACTTTCAATGTTTAACTTCATTAGCATTTATTGTTCGTAAATCGTCTGCGAAACGGGACACTCTGTGTCTGGATTAACGACTTCACCGAATCTATCCAAAACTTTGTTCATTGTAAGATTTTCTTTTTACTATATCATGAGTATCAATTAAACCAAAGCAGTTTATATTTCGTCGATTTTTCTAAATAATGGCCATTTAACGCTTCGTCATCTGTCCGTGCACGACCATTGATACGCAATAGCTGAATTAATCGATCTACGAAAAAAATATATTTAAACAGTTAACCAGTTTAATGTAAGTACATCTTTTATCTGAAAATCCTGTCCTAGACGAGGTCACAAAGTGGCTATGTTACGCTTTCACATTAATTTCAGTTGAATTCTCGGGTTCGTCTGGTTATAAATTTCTTTCCATTCTTCCATAATATTATCGAGCCATGCAGTACTCAAACCACTTTTTGTTATATCATGACGTAATAATTCTTCGCCAATCAGCTCTCCCGACCTGTTAAAACTTAGATATTTTTTAGGAACCCCTTTTTCCTCTATTCCTCTATTTCATTACGATAAAAGTGCACATCTCTCTCCAATTCCCCACGAAAACACCCATGGCCCATCTATCTTTCTTAGACTTAGTAGGGATTAAAAAATTTCTCAATATTATACAATAATCAAAGTTATCTACATCGACGGTTTCCAACATGATATCTAAGAATTTTTTAAGGTTATCATCTTTATATTCACAAACTGCAAAAAATCCATGTGTTTGGATAATCGGCATCCTTTAAAACCGTTAACTTAGCGTGTGTAACTACACCGAAATTACCCGGACTACCACCAATGACAGCACGAAATAATTCGCTACCCTTTTAAACCCAATTTGTTGTGTATTTTTCTTCGGTTGTGTCATAAGATATAATCCTAATCTCGTCAACATAATCTATTAAAAGATCAAAGCCCCTCGTGAGTTGCCCATAACCACCAGTTTGTATATGTCCTCCCAAGCCTACGTATTCACATTGATCTGACGGTAAGAACCATCCATCATCAAATTTTCTCGCAAACTCATCCAATGCGTAACTAATTATTTTATACCTAGACAACAATATAATATCAATTAATCTTATTTTGAAGCATTGAAATAAATCCATTAATTAATTGGAATTTTGTTATAACTTTAGCAAAATTGTTATAATAATTTTGAAAAACCATTCAATTTCATAAAAGTCTTATATCAAAAAATATTAAACATTAACAAGATTCTTTGGATTTTTGCTATAAAGCTTTTATCATATAAAATAAGTTCAATATTAAATTTGATATATTATTGAACTCTTGATTATAAAATTTTGCTTTATTTTAATAAATTTACTGATAATAAATTTATATAACTTTTGTTATTAATTATAAACTTTAGAATAAGATCTAATTTATTAAATATTGTAACAAAAACATTAATAAAACTTATAAAATTGATATTAATTAATATCAGTATCAACAAATTTTAACTTTTTTATAAATGATTATATATAAAACAATTAAAAATTATTTAAATTATTAAATTAATTTTTAATTTTAGAATATAGCAAAAACATTACAAATTATAAGACAAGATAATATACTGATTTTTTAATAAAACAATCAACTATTGAATATAAAGTATGTTTATATCAAGTTTTTAAAATTGGCAATTTTAAAAAAAATTATAATATTTTACTATTTACATATTCAAATTATTAAATAAAAATATTAATTAGTTAAAATTAATTTTTCTTATATAACTATTGAATAACTATTATTAAAAAAAATATTAAAATTCAAACTTTATATCTAACTTTTAGTATTAAACAAATCAATTTATTTAAGTATTAATAAACTATTAAATAGTATTTATTAAGTAATATTTAAAAAACTTTTAAAAATAATAATAATAATTTATTTTTTAGTAAAAAAACATTTAATTTATATTTAAGATTAAGATTAAATATTAATTAATTTCAATTATATAATAATAAAATATTTAATATACAGTGTGTTGCAAAACTTTTTGAAATTTTATTTACATGACATAAATATAAATAACTTTTTCAAAACAAAAGCAATTCATATGAAATTTTAAACATGTAAACAACATATCCTAACAAATATATATATACCCTTAAAACTTCAATTTATTAATTTTTTT